GTTCAAACACAGTCAAAAACAATTTTGCTTCACACGATTTGGTCGATACATAGCACGGTTGGGTCAAACACGGTCAAACACATTTAATTTTTGGTCGAGTCTGGCAAAAACATAACCAGTTCAGGTCGATTCGCTGCAAATATAGCACGCTTGCGCTTGGGTCGAACACGGTCAAACACGTTTTAGATTCCATCGAGTCTGGCAAATCATAACCAGTTCAGATTGAGAAGCTTGAAACATAGCACGCTTGGGCTTGGGTCGAACATGGTCAAACACATCTTGCTTCAGTCCGGTAGATCGAAACATAACCAATTCGAGTCTAGCCGTTCGAATTATAGCGCGCTTGGGTCGAACGCAGTCAAACACAGATTGGCTTCAGTCGAGTCAGCCGAAACATAGCACGCTTGGGTAGAGTACAGTCGAGCAAGTTTTTGCTTCAGTTGAGTCGGTCATAACAAAGCTAGTTTGAGACGAGTCTTTCAGAAAATAGCAAGTTTAGGACAAACTCAGCAAAAAATAGCACGCTTGGGACGAACATGGTCAAAACAAATTTTTGCCATAGTCGATTCGGTCCAAACATGACCAATTCAGCTAGATTCTGTCGAAACATAGCACGTTTGTTTCGAACGCTGTCAAACCGAGTTTTTGCTTCAGGTCGATTCGGTCGAAACATTGCACGCTTGGGACAAACTCAGTCAAAACCAGTTTTGTTCTAGTCGAGTCAGTTAAGATGCAGCCAGTTTGAGCTGAGTCGGTTGAAAAACAGCACATTTCGTTCAAACACAGTCCAAAACAATTTTGCTTCACACGATTCGGTCGATACATAGCACGGTTGGGTCGAACACGGTCAAACACTTTTAACTTTTGGTCGAGTCTGGCAAAAACATAACCAGTTCAGGTCGAGTAGATGGAAACATGGCACGCTTGCGCTTGGGTCGAACATGGTCAAACACATTTTAGTTTCAGTCGTGTCTGGCAAAATATAACCAGTTCAGATTGAGAAGCTGGAAACATAGCACGCTTGGGGTTGGGTCGAACATGGTCAAACACATCTTGCTTCAGTCCGGTAGGCCGAAACCTAACCAGTTCGATTCGAGCCGTTCGAATTATAGCGCGCTTTGGTCGAACGCAGTCAAACACAGTTTGGCTTCAGTCGAGTCAGCCGAAACATAGCAGGTTTGGGTAGAGTACATTCGAGCACAATTTTGCTTCAGCCGGGTCAGCCAAAACAAAGCTAGTTTGAGACAAGTCTGTCAGAAAATAGCACGTTTAGGACAAACTCAGCAAAAAATAGCACGCATGGGACGAACATGGTCAAAACAAATTTTTGCGTTAGTCGATTCGGTCCAAACATGACCAATTCAGCTAGATTCGGTCGAAACATAGCACGTTTGTTTCGAACACTGTCAAACCGAGATTTTGCTTCAGGTCGAGTCGGTCGAAACATTGCACGCTTGGGACGAACTCAGTCAAAACCAGTTTTGTTCTAGTCGAGTCAGTTAAGATGCAGCCAGTTTGAGCTGAGTCGGTTGAAAAACAGCACATTTCGTTCAAACACAGTCCAAAACAATTTTGCTTCACACGATTCGGTCGATACATAGCACGGTTGGGTCGAACACGGTCAAACACTTTTAACTTTTGGTCGAGTCTGGCAAAAACATAACCAGTTCAGGTCGAGTAGATGGAAACATGGCACGCTTGCGCTTGGGTCGAACATGGTCAAACACATTTTAGTTTCAGTCGTGTCTGGCAAAATATAACCAGTTCAGGTCGAGTAGATGGAAACATGGCACGCTTGCGCTTGGGTCGAACATGGTCAAACACATCTTGCTTCAGTCCGGTAGGCCGAAACATAACCAGTTCGATTCGAGCCGTTCGAATTATAGCGCGCTTTGGTCGAACGCAGTCAAACACAGTTTGGCTTCAGTCGAGTCAGCCGAAACATAGCACGCTTGGGTAGAGTACAGTCGAGCACATTTTTGCTTCAGTTGAGTCGGTCATAACAAAGCTAGTTTGAGACGAGTCTTTCAGAAAATAGCAAGTTTAGGACAAACTCAGCAAAAAATAGCACGCTTGGGACGAACATGGTCAAAACAAATTTTTGCCATAGTCGATTCGGTCCAAACATGACCAATTCAGCTAGATTCTGTCGAAACATAGCACGTTTGTTTCGAACGCTGTCAAACCGAGTTTTTGCTTCAGGTCGAGTCGGTCGAAACATTGCACGCTTGGGACAAACTCAGTCAAAACCAGTTTTGTTCTAGTCGAGTCAGTTAAGATGCAGCCAGTTTGACCTGAGTCGGTTGAAAAACAGCACATTTCGTTCAAACACAGTCAAAACAATATTATTTCACACGATTTGGTCGATACATAGCACGCACGGTTGGGTCGAACACGGTCAAACACTTTTAACTTTTGGTCGAGTCTGGCAAAACCATAACCAGTTCAGGTCGATTCGCTGCAAATATAGCACGCTTGCGCTTGGGTCGAACACGGTCAAACACGTTTTAGATTCCGTCGAGTTTGGCAAAGCATAACCAGTTCAGATTGAGAAGCTGGAAACATAGCACGCTTGCGCTTGGGTCGAACATGGTCAAACACATCTTGCTTCAGTCCGGTAGGTCGAAACATAACCAGTTTGATTCGAGCCGTTCGAATTATAGCGCGCTTGGGTCGAACGCAGTCAAACACAATTTGGCTTCAGTCGAGTCAGCCGAAACATAGCACGATTGGGTCGAACACGGTCAAACACTTTTAACTTTTGGTCGAGTCTGGCAAAAACATAACCAGTTCAGGTCGATTCGCTGCAAATATAGCACGCTTGCGCTTGGGTCGAACATGGTCAAACAAATTTTAGTTTCAGTCGTGTCTGGCAAAATATAACCAGTTCAGGTCGAGTAGATGGAAACATGGCACGCTTGCGCTTGGGTCGAACATGGTCAAACACATCTTGCTTCAGTCCGGTAGGCCGAAACATAACCAGTTCGATTCGAGCCGTTCGAATTATAGCGCGCTTTGGTCGAACGCAGTCAAACACAGTTTGGCTTCAGTCGAGTCAGCCGAAACATAGCACGCTTGGGTAGAGTACAGTCGAGCAAGTTTTTGCTTCAGTTGAGTCGGTCATAACAAAGCTAGTTTGAGACGAGTCTTTCAGAAAATAGCAAGTTTAGGACAAACTCAGCAAAAAATAGCACGCTTGGGACGAACATGGTCAAAACAAATTTTTGCCATAGTCGATTCGGTCCAAACATGACCAATTCAGCTAGATTCTGTCGAAACATAGCACGTTTGTTTCGAACGCTGTCAAACCGAGTTTTTGCTTCAGGTCGATTCGGTCGAAACATTGCACGCTTGGGACAAACTCAGTCAAAACCAGTTTTGTTCTAGTCGAGTCAGTTAAGATGCAGCCAGTTTGAGCTGAGTCGGTTGAAAAACAGCACATTTTGTTCAAACACAGTCAAAAACAATATTACATCACACGATTCGGTCGATACATAGTACGGTTGGGTCGAACACGGTCAAACATTTTTAACTTTTGGTCGAGTCTGGCAAAAACATAACCAGTTCAGGTCGATTCGCTGCAAATATAGCACGCTTGCGCTTGGGTCGAACACGGTCAAACACGTTTTAGATTCCGTCGAGTCTGGCAAAACATAACCAGTTCAGATTGAGAAGCTGGAAACATAGCACGCTTGGGCTTGGGTCGAACATGGTCAAACACATCTTGCTTCAGTCCAGTAGGTCGAAACATAACCAGTTTGATTCGAGCCGTTCGAATTATAGCGCGCTTAGGTCGAACGCAGTCAAGCACAATTTGGCTTCAGTCGAGTCAGCCGAAACATAGCACGGTTGGGTCGAACACGGTCAAACACTTTTAACTTTTGGTCGAGTCTGGCAAAAACATAACCAGTTCAGGTCGATTCGCTGCAAATATAGCACGCTTGCGCTTGGGTCGAACATGGTCAAACACATTTTAGTTTCAGTCGTGTCTGGCAAAGTATAACCAGTTCAGGTCGAGTAAATGGAAACATGGCACGCTTGCGCTTGGGTCGAACATGGTCAAACACATCTTGCTTCAGTCCGGTAGGTCGAAACATAACCAGTTTGATTCGAGCCGTTCGAATTATAGCGCGCTTGGGTCGAACGCAGTCAAGCACAATTTGGCTTCAGTCGAGTCAGCCGAAACATAGCACGGTTGGGTCGAACACGGTCAAACACTTTTAACTTTTGGTCGAGTCTGGCAAAAACATAACCAGTTCAGGTCGATTCGCTGCAAATATAGCACGCTTGCGCTTGGGTCGAACATGGTCAAACACATTTTAGTTTCAGTCGTGTCTGGCAAAGTATAACCAGTTCAGGTCGAGTAAATGGAAACATGGCACGCTTGCGCTTGGGTCGAACATGGTCAAACACATCTTGCTTCAGTCCGGTAGGTCGAAACATAACCAGTTTGATTCGAGCCGTTCGAATTATAGCGCGCTTGGGTCGAACGCAGTCAAACGCAATTTGGCTTCAGTCGAGTCAGCCGAAACATAGCACGCTTGGGTAGAGTACAGTCGAGCACATTTTGCTTCAGTTGAGTCGGTCAAAAGGTAGCCAGTTCTGCTCGTTTCCGTCGAAATTGCTATTTTATTTTCCTTTTGAGTCGATCGAAGTCGAAACATAACTCGACACCTCAACCCCTGAGCTCCCACCAGAAACTTTTTCAAAACAAAGTTTTTTCATAAATCATCTCGTTTTCTTACAAAAAAAGCACTTCATGATGTGACACCGCAAATGAAGTACCGATCGGTGATAGACGACTCTTTCATTTTACACAAAACGAGAGCCCGAAAACTATGTAAGCCAATCAAAATTTGTTGTTCAAAAGTCTGAAAAGAATAAGCTGAAAAAATACTTAGTTTAGACTGATTAAAGGACGCTGACTGGTCAAAAATTTAACCGCCTTAGGTTTTTCTGTTATGAAAATCCTCTCCCCCCCCCCAAAAAATCATAATTACCTTGTCTTCAGCATCACAGACTGCGCTCTTCTTTAGACTGTCGTACACTAATTTGGCCCCTGACCATATAGGGTCTTTGAACGGCATCTGATGCTTGAACATGTTGTGGTAGGCTGAAATGGTGTCAAATGGAGCCCTGCTAATTTTGAGTGTAGTTTTTTTGAGCGATAGCTTGTTTCAATAAAATGAATTGTTCTTGTGCATAATCATGCTAAAAAGAAAATCGAGATTGAAAAATTGGATCTTCTCTCATCAATTGGTTTTCAATCTCCAAATAAGCTGAACGTTCGTCAATCAACAAAACTAGCATCCATTGAGCCGGCAGTAACTTTTATAATTTTTTGGAATCCACAAAAACTAAGTTTAACCTGAATTTTTTTTCACAATTCATATTTTTCGTGTATGTAATATTTGTACTTCCGTGTAAAGGTCATTCTGAATGTTCGTTATGCACTGCCTAATGAACGGTTTGTAAAATGAATCCAAGATCAATCTTGATGACTCGATTAAGTTAGCTGTGTAATTTGAACTGACTCTAATGGTTGGGTAGACGCAATTTAAGGGGCGATTGCTTTGAATAAGAAAAAATTTAGGGTCGAACATGGTCGAACATGGGTCGAACATGGTCAAACACATTTTAGTTTCAGTCGTGTCTGGCAAAGTATAACCAGTTCAGGTCGAGTAAATGGAAACATGGCACGCTTGCGCTTGGGTCGAACATGGTCAAACACATCTTGCTTCAGTCCGGTAGGTCGAAACATAACCAGTTTGATTCGAGCCGTTCGAATTATAGCGCGCTTGGGTCGAACGCAGTCAAGCACAATTTGGCTTCAGTCGAGTCAGCCGAAACATAGCACGGTTGGGTCGAACACGGTCAAACACTTTTAACTTTTGGTCGAGTCTGGCAAAAACATAACCAGTTCAGGTCGATTCGCTGCAAATATAGCACGCTTGCGCTTGGGTCGAACATGGTCAAACACATTTTAGTTTCAGTCGTGTCTGGCAAAGTATAACCAGTTCAGGTCGAGTAAATGGAAACATGGCACGCTTGCGCTTGGGTCGAACATGGTCAAACACATCTTGCTTCAGTCCGGTAGGTCGAAACATAACCAGTTTGATTTGAGCCGTTCGAATTATAGCGCGCTTGGGTCGAACGCAGTCAAACGCAATTTGGCTTCAGTCGAGTCAGCCGAAACATAGCACGCTTGGGTAGAGTACAGTCGAGCACATTTTGCTTCAGTTGAGTCGGTCAAAAGGTAGCCAGTTCTGCTCGTTTCCGTCGAAATTGCTATTTTATTTTCCTTTTGAGGCGATCGAAGTCGAAACATAACTCGACACCTCAACCCCTGAGCTCCCACCAGAAACTTTTTCAAAACAAAGTTTTTTCATAAATCATCTCGTTTTCTTACAAAAAAAGCACTTCACGATGTGACACCGCAAATGAAGTACCGATCGGTGATAGACGACTCTTTCATTTTACACAAAACGAGAGCCCGAAAACTATGTAAGCCAATCAAAATTTGTTGTTCAAAAGTCTGAAAAGAACAAGCTGAAAAAATACTTAGTTTAGACTGATTAAAGGACGCTGACTGGTCAAAAATTTAACCGCCTTAGGTTTTTCTGTTATGAAAATCCTCTCCCCCCCCAAAAAAAAATCATAATTACCTTGTCTTCAGCATCACAGACTGCGCTCTTCTTTAGACTGTCGTACAGTAATTTGGCCCCTGACCATATAGGGTCTTTGAACGGCATCTGATGCTTGAACATGTTGTGGTAGGCTGAAATGGTGTCAAATGGAGCCCTGCTAATTTTGAGTGTAGTTTTTTTGAGCGATAGCTTGTTTCAATAAAATGAATTGTTCTTGTGCATAATCATGCTAAAAAGAAAATCGAGATTGAAAAATTGGATCTTCTCTCATCAATTGGTTTTCAATCTCCAAATAAGCTGAACGTTCGTCAATCAACAAAACTAGCATCCATTGAGCCGGCAGTAACTTTTATAATTTTTTGGAATCCACAAAAACTAAGTTTAACCTGAATTTTTTTTCACAATTCATATTTTTCGTGTATGTAATATTTGTACTTCCGTGTAAAGGTCATTCTGAATGTTCGTTATGCACTGCCTAATGAACGGTTTGTAAAATGAATCCAAGATCAATCTTGATGACTCGATTAAGTTAGCTGTGTAATTTGAACTGACTCTAATGGTTGGGTAGACGCAATTTAAGGGGCGATTGCTTTGAATAATTTAGGGATCTTGTTAACTACCCCCCCCCCCCCCCCCCCCTGTTAACAATTTCTTTTTAACTATTTCCAATGTAGTTGAAAAATTGGATTTTAATTTAGTGAAAGTGACACTTTTTGGGTATCAAACAAAAACATATCTATTTATACAAAATTCAGAAGATTTTTTATTATGTTGGCCTAAATATAGGGTTCTTTTTTATAATAATTTGTCCTCAATTGAACCGGTTATTTTGGTGTAAATTTTGATTGATTGAAAAAAGAAAAAATGAAATGTTTTTTTTTGAAAAAATTTTAGGTCCGAGTTTTAGTTTTGTAAAATCAATTGCAACGCATTACTTCTACTGAATTCCTAAGCAAGATTTGGCTTCAATCTTTTTTGTCTAAAATCAACCCAGTTGGGGGGGAGACTCGTTTTATTTTCATTTTTTCTTCGTTTTGGTTGCATAATTTTAATCAATCAGACCAGCACAGCACCTAAAACTTCTTTTTGGGTGGAAAAACTAATTAACAAATTTTTTGAAGAGATATGGAAGAAATTAAGACTTTTGTAATGTTCAAAAAAAATGTGGTACGTTTCGCTCCTCACTTAATTTGACCCGTTTTTTGTGTGTGTAAGATCAAAGGAGCAAAATATGTGAGGAACCATTTGTTCCACTGAATCTAAGAGATGAAAAAGGTGTGCAGACCGAAAAAGTATAACGTTAACACAAAAGTTTGAAATTGTTAAAAATACTTGGTTTTATTCCTACGTTCTTCGTGTAAAATGTAAATTATCTACTGACGTAAGTACAAAAACGGATAAAATATGATGTTGTTCAGATTGTAAAACGCGGCGCCGACCGTGTAAGATTTGTTCGCACGCTCCCCCTTGCATACGACAGTGCAATTTGGTGTTTTTGATGAATGTCACCTAGCAATCTGATTCTCGCGCATTCTTTATGAATATGTCTGTTAAATTCTCTGAATTTGTGGTTAAATCAATTTTCTAACGCATTTAGTTCTGCATGGAATTTTTCGATTGTCTTGTCCTTCTTTTGCTTTCTTTTGTAAAGAGGCCCCCCGTTCAAATATCACTTCCCTTCCTCAATGAAACACGTTCTCCAATTTGTCTAATACCCTAATGAACAATTCTGTTTGCAGAACCGTTTTTGCAGAACCGGACCAAATCGGAAAAGAATTTCAAATCGAATTTGTTTTTTTTTTGTATCGGAGACGAGGCGAAGCGGATAAGTTTAAGCTCGAAAACCTAAGTTTTCGAGCTTAAACTTATCCGCTTCGCCTCGTCTCCGATACAAAAAAAAACAAATTCGATTTGAAATTCTTTTCCGATTTGGTCCGGTTCCGCAAAAATAGTGTGCACGGTATCCGCAAAATAGAACACATCTGGGTCGATGTCATACTTGGCAAAAATCCCCCAGTGGACCTTAACCATGCACTCTCCTTCATATATCGGCGGCTCTGGGGTCCAAAAATCCCAAAATGACAAAATCTTCAATATGTTCACCCCTCCACGTTTTTCAGCTATCTGCGCCTAGATGTAGGTACGAAAACGGATATAGTACTAGGTTCGATTCAGATGCAATTATATGATCCAACAACATAAATAAGACTCCGCCTTTTGTTATAGGTGAATACAGACAACCTAGAGTTAAGTAAGGTCAAGTGACAGGTCTTCAGACAACAAACTCAATACGTACAACTTTAAGCAAATCCTTGTAACCAACCCCTATGTCCCCGCATCCAGTTTCAAGCGTTAATAATCGATTATAATTCGATTTTAGTACCAGTCTTACAAAAATTGAGAAACAATCGATATTAATCAATTATTAATCGATTATAATCTCTCTTTTTAAAATAAAATTATAATTAAGTATAATACATTATAATCGATTATAATCGATTATTTATTGGTCAATGTTTCTATACAATTATAATCAATTATAATTGATTATAATCCATTATTTCTATTCAAAATTCTAGCTCATTAGTTTTGCACAAAAATCCATTATAATCGATTATAATTGATTATAATCCCTTTTGTTTGTCCATTTTGTCTTCGAAGTTGCATCTAAACTGCTTAACTTTTGAAGCATATTTTAGGTTTTTTTAACCACCAAAGTATCAGCAAATCGATTTAGTTTCATGATTGATTCGGAAGATTTATTTTTCATCTACCGCGGGAACCTTTCCACTATTATGAAAGGATCTCCATGAATCTTTGGTTTCGTGGTAAAACTTTGTGTTCAGATAAACCAAAGTGTCCAAGAGATCTCTTTTCTAGAGAGGTTCTTATTGACACAAAATTAATGACAAAATATTGAAACCCAACTTGAGTAATATGTCACAAAGGGCGGATTTAGGTGAAGGGGTATGTCGCCCCCTCAAAAATTCGGCATCCCTACCAACCAAAGCGTCCACATTGGTATTAATTTCTTTTGGAATCTTTTTTCGGCAATCAACCCTAAAATTTTTCTAAATGTGCCGTTGACGCCAGTATATAGCCTTGTTGAAGAACACACCGAGAAGATGCATTTTTTGGGCAAAAAAAATTCCAAAAAATGCCCAATAGCAGCATATTTGTTATTAGTTTTTTTTCAAAATTTTGTCTGCGGCGCAGAAAATTATGACAAGATAGGACCTTTATAGAATTCTGACTCGGAAAATCACTTTAGTCGACGTAGAAAAAAAAGTCGACGCAAAAATTTCATATTTTTTGAAATTCTGCCGGCTCCTCAAAAAAATCTTGTATCTGCCCCTGATTATCATCTTCCAGAATGCAATGGAGCGTCGGATGCTTCATATTTTCAGGAATTTTTTTAAGAGATTTTTTTTGTAATTTTTTTTGGTGTTTTATATAGTCAGTCAACAATTGACGCTGTACTGAGACATTCTTACCATTCGCAAGTATGCCCAAAGGAGCAGGACATAAGAAGGCGTTGAAGGCATTTCCAACAAAGTCGAGTTTGGAGGTCACCGCTTCAAGGAACCCATCATCTTTTGTATAATACTTCATTCTTGCTGTATCCATTTTGCAACCTAGAATTGTTCAAATTGAGCACGTGATTTTGATTTACTATGATGGTGAAGTGTTGCGCAATGGTGGGTCTATACCAGGGGCGGATCCAAAATTTTCATGAGGGGTGCGGATTTTTGAACAAAATCCGAAATTTTTGTCAATTTTTTTAAGTCGACCAAACTTTGATTTTCTGAGCTCCCTAAAATCATTTAAAATCATTAAAAGGCGCCAATTTTACCAAATTGTTTGCGCCGCAGGCAAATTTTTGAAAAAAAAGACCAAAAAACGTGTTTTAGACCTTTTTTGGGAAGTTTTGTCCAAAAAAATTGAGATTTTCCGGCGGGCCCACCCCTTCAATGATATAATGAGGCCGGTCAGCCAAGATTGGATATCCTAAAATAGTCGATCCCTGCGGGGAGGGGGTGGGCTGGTCTATACAATCCGGAATCTATACCCCTGATGATACCCAAAATATCTTGCTTTGAATACCTATTTAATTACGTCATGCAAATGTTTTGTCGACCATATGAAGTGCACAACTTTGCAGTTCACGGGTCTTCCCCGCCATACTTCCGCGACAAAATTCATTTTAAGTACGTTGATTTTTTCTAGAAGTAATTAGGGTTTACTGGAGTTGAACCTGTCGACAGAGGGGATTTGGCACAAAATAAAACAAAAACTGCATCAAAAACTCAACGAAAATGTTCATATCTGAAAGAAAATTCAACTTTAACCTCGAGAGTTCAATATCCTTCAAGCGTTATGAAAAACGTCGCCATCCATTGTTGGCCAAAAGCGTTTTGAGTGAAGAAAAAACGACGCCGCAGCACAATTATTCCGCTCCTTTCTAGAAAATCAGAGCAAGGAAGACCCCTTTGATACAATTTTAATTTATTTAAAAGCCATGCCGAGCATTTGCTTATCTTTTTGTTTTTGTTCTGACTTTCAAAGAAAGTGTAGAATAGTTATGCTTGGGGTTTAATTCAGTCAATTTTCGACTTCTATTTAAAACTTTTAAACTAAGACTTTTAAACTAAGACTTTTAAAACGAGGCCAAACTGTTCACTGGATAAGGGCACAATTTTGTGTGGGTATGTTCCTGAGTTCCACCCGCACTGGAGTTTCAAAGATAATAATCGATTAAATTGTCAATTTATAGTCAGTATCCATAAAATTACATAAGTTATTTATTAGAATCCATTAAAATGGATTATAAACATAATATTTTTTATGTCAAATTAATCCGCCATTATCGATTATAATCGATTGTAATGGATTTTTTGAGAGGTTATTTTTTATCATCGCCATAGTAAAAAATTACCAATTGCCCACTACCCCCACCCCTGCCTACTGCCCCCCCCCCCGCTAACTACCCCTCTCCGCCCTCTTCTGAATGAGGGGGGCATTTAACGGTTGAAGGCGGCGGCGGGGGGGGGGGGGGGGGGGGAGGTTTGTAAATGGAACACCCCCGCTACTTAGGTGTACTTTTAAGCCCCTCTCCCCTGTTTAGGCAACCGCTACCGCCTGGGTGGGGGTTGCAGGTCACTGGATTGTTTATACACCCCAGTAGGGGGCTAAACGAGGGGAGTGGCGGGGGTCGAAACCTGGGGGTGTGGGTGTGGGGGTACATGGTGTGGTGGTGGTAGGATAGGTGGTGGGGGTAAAATGTGTAGGAATAAATAAGGGGTGAGGGTGGTAAATTGGAGTGGGGAGAGGGCGTAGGGTATGAGGGGGAACAAACTTTTTCGAGTTTTTTAGGTTAGGGATGAACATGTTTCTTCGGGTTCTAAATTTGCAGAACGTTTCCAGTGTTTCAAGAGTTTAATTAGCTGTAAGCAATTTTCTGCAGAAAAAAATCGATCTTCATGGATCTTTGTGGGCCCGGGCTAAAAAAAAAGATTATATTGTCAAAAAAAAAAAACAGATTAAATTGTGTTTTAAATTTTGAAAATAATCGATTATAATCCCCTAAGAATCCAGTTTCATCGGTGGTTGGGTCATGAGAATTGATTATATGGGTTAAACTATTTTGCCAATATAATCCATTATAATCGATGATTCCCCATGAAACTTCAGTGCGGGCAGAGACAAGTCTTTAAAAATGTCGAAATTTTGTCTGAACAATCAAAAGAAATAAAAGAAGAAAAAAAGGTTAAAGGGAGCGTCCTTGTTGCAGAATCCGCTTACAATGCACAAAATGCACAGTTTGGTCTCGAAATATTTTTTGGTCATGAGCTCAAAATTAAAAAGATATTTTACCTGTGATCATGTTTCGTAAAGTTACGAGGTTTGAAAATTGCTAATTCGGCCAAATTGGGATAATTAAGGCGCAATATATAGTGTTCTTATGAGAAGTATTGAGAAGTGTAAGCGGCGATTTAACGCACTCCAAATTGGATTAAGAGTAGTAATTTTTATTCCTTTCAAAATAACTCAAGATGCTAAACAAATCCTTTAAAAATGAGAAATTTTTTCGAATATTCTGCCGGTTATTCAACAAATTTTTAATATGGTCTTTAAATTTAGTCGCAAAATTCAGGTTTTCGCCCTGATATACCATCAGTCTTTATCACGTAAGTAGAATTTCAACTTAAACTAGACCCCTAGAAAAAAATTTAGCGCATTTGTGACAAAATGGCAGCCACACATTTCTTGCACAACTTAATCTAGATTTTAACTTCAACGAAATCGTTGAATCGAAAAAAGTCAAATAATTGAAAAATTTTTTGTGCGGTCTAGTGAATTTTCAAGAAAGTTGAGGCTGGTTTAATTAATAAGTTTTCTCGCCGCGTTATCAAGTTCATATTCTAGACAAAGCGAGCTATTCCGACTGTTAAAGCATGCCGGAACAAGGAACTAAACATTTCTATCTGCAAACTGTATTGTCCTATTAATGCCATTAAGAGTTGGGCCATTACTTTAAGAACTTGCTTTTCAGCAAACTGTTAAAGGGAAATTGCAAAGTTCAGAGCTATGCCCTGACACTAGCAGTTAGAAATTGAAATGAAGAAAAACCATGGAAGGACATTCATTGAAATTTTGAAAAACTGGTGCATATTGAAAATCGTGAACAAGTGGCATGAAAAAATGGTATATAAATAGAAACACATCGACAATTTTGAATAGTCAAACTAATCAAACACAATTTTTCAGACAAGGTTTTTTCTCCTTTTTCTCAAAATATGGAGCAAAAAATTCGTAATCTACCTAATAAAACCTGCTGAAAATTTAAACGGACTTTCTTTTTGTTTCAAATGAGTCTTGATTTGAAAAAGATCAAACTTTTTAACAAAAGAAAGATAGTCGAATGAATATTCATTTTCTGAAGCTTCACTTCATGCGTTTTTTACAATTGCGAGAGCAAGTTCCTTGTAACCAGGAACTAGACTTTTTCCCATGAACTTTTTTTTACACACCTTACTTTCTTTTCTTACTTGCTTTGTTATTGAACCTTAACAATTTCAAGGCTTATTCCCACTTGGCCTAGAGATAACACGGTTACTTTTTCATCCTAAGGTCTGGATTTCAAGTCCCGGCCTGACCTATTTTTTTCAGCATGCTTAAAATCAAAAACGTTTTTTTTTTCCGGGAAACGTTAAATTGTCAAAGTTTTGTTTGTCTGCTCAAGGTTTGTCGGCTTGTTTTCCACTTTGGGGAAGTTTTGCGCGTGGATAAATATGTGTGATTTTTGTTTTGCTTAAAAATTGCATTCGGTTTAAATCGTTTTGGCTTATATTTTATCGGCTTAGTTACTTTGATTTGCGTTGCTTCAAGGGCAAAAAATGAATAATTTGCTTAAAGTAAACTAGTGTAACTGAAAAAAATTTCAAAATTTCAAAACTTAATTGCATATTTTTTTAGGAAAAATTTTTGTGGCACGCTTTTTTTTGTTTTTGCTTCGATGGACGTCTATCTGCTTAGTGGTCACTCGATAAAAACTAGAAAAAAATCTCTGATAGTGTTGCTGTGTATATTGAATGTTCTGCTGAAAACTTTTTCAAATTTTATAATTTTTGCCCCAATTTGGTGTTTCTATCTCATTTCTTCTGCAAGCTTGCATTGCTGTGCTTGTATTGTATTGCAAGTTATGCAAAGCTCCTCTTTGCAGCTGTGGAGATAAATGGCGATGCATGCTCAAGCCATTAATACTTATAAATGCTTATCCTATAAAGCTAATATTAGTTTGTGACAATTTAAAAGTGTTCCGGATTCGGATTAACTTGATGGGTGTGTAAGCTGTAAACTAAAACTGGTGATTTTGAGCGCAATAAATTTTTCAATTTTTCAAATCTTTCGCTTAAAATCAAATCATGATGTTTTTGGAAGTTTATTCACAAATAATAAGTCTTGCTACGGTGGGACCTTGTGAGTTGTAAAATAACTTACTAAGTTGTGAAATAAAAAGTGTGAAATAACTTACTACAGTCACGGGACAAAACTATCACAAGTGTGAAACATCTTGCTACAATCACGGGATAAAAAAAATAGTTCTTGATTTTCGAACTTAGCAGCTTTTAACTTTTTCTTGATAAATACGACAAGAATTTGAGATCTTTATAAAATAAAAGAAACTATACTAAAGAATCAGAGCAGACCAGAAACTGAATACAAAACTTTTTCAGTGCCTTGGTTAGCCCTTTAATGGAGGCTTATCAGAGAGGTGTTTTGAAAGCTGGAGATTTTTCTCAAAATCACAAGGAGATCTAATTTTGGACAACGTAATGAAATTGTTTGTTCGACGCTTTTATATTTAAGCTAGGTTCATAAAAAGTTTCCCTGGATAAAAAATTGCAATAATTAAGTACAAAATTTATCTCAGATGCTAGAATTTTGCTCAATAGATTACCATATTTAGGAAAGATTGTGTCAAAATTTTGAATAAATTATGGAGATATAATGGCCCAACAAAGATTCCACCGAAGATTTGTAATTCCAAAAATTTCGTGCTTCCAGTGGTGTTTACGATATTTTTTCGGCAACCATAAAACCTATCTGACTAGTTCCAGCTGAATGGTCAAGCAGTGCCTGGAAAAAAGTGTAGTTCTAATCAAAAGAGATCTTCCTATATAGTTGAATTCACCTTTTGTGAAGTTTTCAGCAATAGATCCAAAGTAATCATAGAGAAAACTTAAGGATGGCAAAAAATGTTTTCGTGCAATACTTGGTTGAAAAATAAGATTTGCAACTTATTTGCTCATGACTTCAAAAAGTTTGAGAATCAAGATTTTTAATAAGTTTCATTCTCCTTTACTAACAGTATTGAAAAAAGCAAAAAATCATGTTATTGTGCATGTAGCAAAAAACGTTCCGGCACAAAACAATTTTTTAGAAAAAAAGGCTATATTTATATTTTTCAACCGATGAAATGAAAAAAAATGTTCTCTAAGGAATCAATTTTTCACAACTACCTGATATGAAGGGATTTTTTTTGCAAAATACAATAGCAACAACTTAGAACTATACAAAGTTATCAGAAAAGATCTGATCTAATCACAACTGTAAGAAAATTATTTTTGAAGGCACTGATCGATCAGCCTGTCTAAATCCTTTGTTAGATATACGTTTTTTTTGTGTAAACACAATCCAAAAAAATCTAATGAGCTTGCAAAATAGACTTAAAATGACAATTTTCTACAATATTAATGAACGTGACATCTTTAATTTTTGCGCAAAAAAACTCTTGATAAACCAGGATACCGTTTGCTCTGTGAGTAGCACAGAATGTTTTTTTTCTTCAAGTTAGTGCTTTTTTGTAGATCGAGTGATAAAAAACTATAAGAACTCGGAAAACTTCAGTGAACCAGGTAAAAACGACTTTAATGTTTTCAATATATATTTATTATTTTTTTGCTCTAAATGTTTATAGCCTTTTGAAATTTTTTTCTTGCCAGAGAAGCGCTGAATGAAGCTTCTAAAAGTAGTTTTATTAAGTAAAATCAAGTTTCTTATGTAATATCAAGTTTTCTCAAATAAATTTCCAATTTTCATATATAGCGAACGTTTCTCGATAGCTTTACTCGCTCGAAAAAAGACGAGAATAAAATTGTTCAAACCGGTTTTTCTCGACACTGGGAAAATTTTTTGGCTAAAATTTAATGTCATTCAAATCACGGTTGAAAGAAATTTTTTGATAAAAAAACTCAACCAAGTCCAATGATTTTTGCGGTACCTGTTTTTGCGTGGAAAAAAGGAAAGATGAAAAAAAAAACTAAAACACACCCGAACACAATGTTCCTCCCCACTTTCCATGGTTGGAGCAAAAACTTGATAAAGTCGATAAAGTTAATAGACCCGTTCGATACTGATTTTAGCCACTTATATATTTCACTGATTAACCGCGTATTCGAGAGTCTTGAAAAATCTTTAAGTCAAAATCTCTCTAAATTGTAATTATATGCATCAGCTGCGCCGATTAAATGTTTTAAGCAAGATTTTCGAGATCGTTTTTTTCTTATGTTTCAAGTGTCAGAAAAAAAATTGAAAATACCTAATGATTTTGTGGCTTCTGACGTTTTGAGCCAAGTGATGTTTTAGTTTTTTTTTTAATTTTTAAATTTTCCAGACATTAATAATAAAGAAAATTGCATTTATAAGTCAAAGCTCATTGTGCCTTCAAACTATTTGTTATTTTTTAGAGAACGTTATGAATGTTTTTAAAGTTATGATCGACTGGCTAATGAGAGCTTCCATAAAAATGAAAACTTCCTTTAATGAAAGCTTTCTTGCCGGTAAAAGCTTCCTTTTATATTGTTTCAGCAACTATGCATCAAAATCTCAGCCATGTATTCAAAGCAATTGCAGAGGAAGCATCAAAAATGTGCCGAAGAACTCTTTTGTTACAATCGGTTGAAAGCCATAATCTGAATAGTTTTATCCTGACACTGTAGACCATTTTGAAAACACTGAAATCAAAAAAAAAACATTTCACAATGTGTGAACTTGTTTGGAAGAATTTTTTTTTCGCTTACACCAGAAAATTGCAAAAACATAAGCATCGCAGATATGCAGACACAAAAAGCCATGTTTCGATATAGGACATTTGTCGGAACAAGAACATCAATCAAAAATTAGTACCTTGCGGCCAAATAATGCAAAATGTTGATCCATCGTCTTTGCAGATTTTTTCAACATCAAAAGCTGCTCTCAATTTGTCGGCGTGAGACTTTCCAATGACTAACTTTGCGCCACTCTGAAGGTACATGTTCAGCCCAGTGCCCAGAACCAATACTTGGTTGCCAAGATTGCCCCGGCAATCTCCGAACCAGTAGCCAGTTTTTCGCAAGGTTGTGTCCAATTCTGAGCAGGGTATTTTTACTGTTTTTTCAATCGCCACAGCATTCATTGACTCCTTGCTATGATTAACCTGCCTATTAACAAAAAAGTATTTCGGTAATCAAATTGCACCTGCATGAAACTCATACACATTTAACTTGTCGAATTTTATTTGATTTTTTATAAAATATTAAATTTTACAATATTCAGTACTAAACCAATCATGATCAAGTACTGAAACTATTAATAAATACTGCCCACAGATCATTTTACTTGGTCAGACTATTTTTTGACTTATTAAAAAAATCAATCTACACAATCGTTGCCCACGTAAAAGCCAAGTGAAGCATAATAAAACTAAAGACGTGTGCAAAAATTCCGGTCAAAAGTAGACGAAAATACTGTGTGCACTCTTAATTTAAGGTTCTTTTTGAATTAGCCCTGTGAATCTGTCTCATCTAGTGCGACCTTGTAGCCCTGAAAACACTTCAAGTCAACTTTAAAAAGTTTAGCATTTGACTTTGCTCGTCTCCAAGCTGCAGCCGTGTTGTTGTTGTTGTTTGCAGCTGCCAAAGAGGGGTCGCCCAATTCGTGTCTTCACTGCCCTTTATTTTCAGTACTCCACAATCGAAGATTGTGGAGATTGATTGATTGGCTCGTCTCGTCCGTAAAACGGTAAATGTGGCTTTCCCAGGAGCAGAAATGCCCCCGGCAGCACTGAGTAAACATCGTTCTAGGGCGCAGTTTTTGGTACGGAGAACCGAGCAAAACTCCCATGCCCGGTTTCAGCGGGAAGTTTTTAAATAGCGCGAAGAGCCGATAAAAACTTATAATGTGCCTTGATGTCGGTAAGTTGAGCCGTTTTTCCCGAAAAGGGGTTGTCCCTCAGGGCGTCAAATTTAATAGATGTTGGCTTCAATGGACAGTTAAAGAGGTGTTGTGTGTCGTGCGGACTAGAGTCACAGTTTGGGCAGGTCTTTTTAATGTTTGTGTCCAAAATTGACAGATAGCTATTTAATTGTGTGCTATATCCACAGCGGAGTTGAGCAAGAGTACGTCGCGAACTTCTGAGAAAGCTGTTTTCTTCCGAAGCTCTTTCTGGAGTTTGAGAACCCGTCAGTTTAGAGGGATGTTTGTAAAGTAGTTTTTCATCTCAATTGAATGAATTGTTTTCAAAGCGACTTTGTGTTTTGATATGGTGTTAGGCGATTGTTTTTATCAAAATCTTTTTTGATATTGCTGTAGTATTTTTCGCAAGAGTTGGTTTTTTTAGTCTCGATATCGGTTTGTGTTCGGTTGTGTGGTGGTCACTTCGTTCCTGTTAATGGCAGCCAGTTAGAAATTCTTTGCTTAACATTTCATTGTGTTCCTTGACTCGCAGTATCTCAGTTTCACAATAAAAATCCTTAACTGAGGTCATTTTTTTAGCAGCCAGTTACAATTCTAAGTGCTGTGTTTTGTCGAGTTTGGAGGTTTTTCCACGGAGAACTTTTATTGAACTTTTAGTGTCCATACAGGAGCTGCGTAATTCAAAACACTATTGCCAATGGCCTTTTTTGTGATACTTTGCTGCATCTCTAACCTTCTTTTCTGCATCCCCAGCTTGTGCCTAAAAGTTTTTTCAGTACGTTTTTGCGTGTTTGGAATATGTTTATCACTGCGATAATGTGTTCAGTGAAAATAAAGATCATGCTATCCAAGGTGACTCCTGCAATTTTAGATTTTCAAATGGTGGGTAGTGGGTTGCTTTCAATGATCAAATTAGTTTGATTCTTCCTTTCTGTGTTTCAGGTTGATTCGCTGATGAATTGTCAGCAGAAAGTTTGAATTTGCGTTTCTGAAGACAATTATATTGAGTAATTGGATAAGGGCTATATCTCTGATGGTGATATAAATGTCATCTGTATATGTTGTTACTACTTTGATGTTTTTGACAGATGGAAGGGGCATTGATGACATGTAAAAACTGAATAGAATGGGCGATAGGACTCCTCCTTGACGTACACTTTGTTTCATTTTTGATTTTTCGTTCCTTAATTGAACATAAGTTGCCCTTTCTTGTAAATTTTTTTTATCCATCTTTTGTATTGTTTAAAAGAGACAATTTGTCAAGATCGTGCAGGAAAATACCGTGATCCCTTGGGTCAAAAGCTGCAGTAAGATCTAAAGCAACTAGGAGTGTCTGGTGTGGAGGTCGAGTTTGATTTATTCCGTTTCTTACATCCTTGGCTCTGCAGTGTAAGGCAATGTTTGTTGACCTGTGTTTTTAAAACCTGTGCTGGTGATCTGCCAGAGGGATGTTGTTGAGGCCATCCAGCAGGATTCTTTCAATTAGTTTTTGCTTCATCTTTTTTTAAGCCCGATTCGAGTAGAAAAAAAAGTCTACCGACTTTCCGGTTCTGCGGAATGATTGAGGAGTTAAGAGTCAGTGATATTAGCTCTGTAAGGAACTTGATACTTTTGTCATTGAGAAGGTGGGCATGTGTAAGGGCAGTTTTATCAGGCCGTAGAGCTTTGCTGTTCTTGCTCAGTTCATTTTTGTTTAAAATAAATTTGTTCAATTTTGATTGTAATGTGGACTCATGAAATATTTTTTCCAATCAGCAGAGCGTGCCCAATTTCTCTTTATTTGGAAAGGGCGGGTGAGAGCTATTTTGCTGATTAAAAAGATTGGCACACTTTTTCGAATCATAAAGAGGTTTCTTATTGAAGCTTGTTTTGTGTGATGTCAGTTGATTTGTCAGCTAAAGAATTGACAGTTTCCCATAGATTGTGACTTTCTCCGTTGTGGGTTAGTGGGGTAATAACAAATTCCATCCATTTATCACGTTTGCGTCTATTCACAATGACATCAGTTTCATTGTTCAACTGGGAAAGGTTAGGGTCACCCAAATTAATTGATCGAAAATCGTCTCTGGTCTTGGAAATCTCTGCAGCTTGTTTTGGAAAGTGTGGTCTGAATTCTTTGATGCGGTCTTGTGGAATACGCCATTTGACTGCCTTTATCAAAGTTTTTTGGAATAGAGCTTTACCTTCAGGCACTGTTTGGGGTGAACTACATTTGCCAAAAACTAATTCAGTAGAATCGTGAAAAATTTTCCAGTCTGCTTTCCTGTTGTTAATGAAAACCTTTTTTGTTTGTTCAACAAAGTCTACGTTACAAGTTGGTGTTAGCACGGTTGTCTGATAATCAGAGCCAAGGCAAGACTATATGGTCCAGTTAGTATTCATTGCTAGGTTGGCATTTGCAAGACCTATATTGGGTGAAATTTCACAATTCTCATTTATGTGAATTTCTGAGTCATCTTTTTCTTTGGCAGGTGTAGTTCATCTGGCATCCTTCTCAAGTTCAGAGAACCAAAAATGGTTATGAGCATTAACGTCACGGAGTATTAGAGCAGCCTCAAGGAATCGCAAAACGTCTAAGCATTCCTAGAGAATCTGGGATTGACTAAAATCTGTAACCATTTGTTGTACCATGCATGACTTCATGGAAGCCATGAAAATTTGCCAATCTTGTACATTTTTAAATACGACTTCAAATTAGACAACTTTGATAATTTTATGGCTGTTAAGATGTGATGTGTCACCATGGATGCTTGCAACGTATGTTTGCAGTGCAACACTCGATATTCCTTGAAGCCCAATATGGTCATCAAAAAAATTTTTTAACCCTGCTTTAGGGTTCAGTACGAAAAATTTCACGTATAGGCTCTCCTCACTAAAAAGCGTGGCATCTAGGATGCATTTACTGACTTATTCTAAGCTGAACTACCAGGCTAACGTCATCGAGCGCTCATGGATGCCAATCGATTGTAATGGAATTCCGAGACCAAAATAATCCATTATATTCCATTACAGATGAAAAATTTGGGTACACTAAAACTGATTATAATCCATTATTTTAGAACCAAATTGTTTTTGCATACATTTTGCAACTTTATGCCTTGTCACAGACAAAATGTTATACTCAAAGAAAACTCAACAAAACAAAATTTTATGTGAAAAGTAAACATTTTTGAAACGTAGCTCGTAGCAACTGCCTTAACCAGAAATAAGAAAACTTTCAAAAAAAAACTGCCGAATTCATAAATAATCAATCATAACGGATCATTTCAATGTAAAATTATTATGATTTTTTTAAATTGATTATAATGGATTTCTTTGAATTAAATTATTTGGGATCATAACCCATTTTTATTGGATTATAACCATTTTTTGGTAAATTTTTAGATACTGACTATCAAACGACAAAATAATGGATTCTGATCCATAGGTGCTCGGTACCGGTAGCGACAAGACATGCTACTCATCGACATTTACAAGAACAGTCTCTTACAAGACAGAATGAGTTTAATCTGAAAAAAAAACTGCAATTTTTGTAGAGCCTGGATAAAGACAGAATAATTGAAAATCAAACTTATTGTTCCAACGATCAAAAAGGGAAGACTATATAAGCTTGGAGTGTTTTTTTGTACTCAAACCAATTTCCAAAAGATCCTTTGCTCACTAGCGGGATCAATCCCTGGACCCACTAGGATCCTGCCGGACCACTCTTTCATTTTGACATGTTTTAAACCAAAATTCTTTATATTTAATTTGACGCTGGAAGTTTAACGCGAATTGTTTGACGTGGTGGCTCATCTGCAACAACTGCTTCATCCTAATTTATGAGCTGTTCTGAGTTTTTATTTCTCAATAATGACTTTATTTGGAAAATTACTATGCTCGTTCATAATATTGACTTTCTCTTGAAAAGTGCGAATACGGCCTTTAGATTTAGATAAAATAAATCGTCACAAATTTAAGGTGTCTGTTGACATTTGATGCTTGAAGTATGCGTATGCATCATAAAATAGCCTATCGTTGATGTTGTTTTTCATAGGTTTTTCATTGTTAACACAGCCTCGAGAGCAATCACAATGACGCTAAGATCTTTTTCGATAAAGAAGCTTTTCTTTGTTTTTACTATGCGCATCAAAAAAAAAGATTGTTGATCTAATTGCACAGTTGCGTGGCCTTATGGAATCAATCTCTTTTTGAAGGATTTTTCAAAAATCTGGTCGCTAATTTGTGTGACAATGGCCCGGATAAT